GGAGGTGGAGGAGGAGGAGGAGGAGGAAGAGTAGGAGGAGGGTTGAGGGCCGCCGCAGGCCTTCCAGGACCTTGCGCGCATTGTCCTGACCCCAAGCGAGGCGGACAGAGCCGGCACGTACCTGGCCAGGATCGCGCGTCCGGGCGGCGCTCTGCGGCCAGAGGGAGGGATGGGATCCCGACTCCTGCTCCAGCTGCTCCCCTTTCTCGTTCATCACCTGCTTTTCCTCCTTCGCCTCCTCCTCGTTCTCCTCGTCCTCGTCCTCTTCCCTCTCCTACCTACGCTTCTCCTCCTCCTACCTCATCCTCCTCTCCTCCTACTTCCTCTTCTCCTCACCCACCACCCTTCTTCCATTCCCGCCTCTACTCTCCACACCTACCACTTCCCCCCTATCCCAATTCTCCTTATTCCTCCTCCTCCTTCCTCATTCCTCCTCCTCTTCCTCTTCTTTCTCCTTCTCCTTCTCCTTCTCCATCTCCTTCTCCATCTCCTTCTCCTTCTCCTTCTCCTCCTCCTCCTTCTTCTCCTCTTCTTCCTTGTGCTCCTCCTCCTCCTCCTCCTCCTTCTCCTCCTCCCGTTCAGCCTCCTTTTCCTCTTCCTAGCCCTCGCGTGCTCAGGAGTTGATGCACCAGGGGCAGGCGTGGTCCCGCCACCGCAACGACCCTCCCCCCTTCAGGCCAGCGACCCGCACTTCTTGCATCGTGCACAGGTTGTGATGTCTCGATGTGACCAGCTTGTGTGTGGCCGGCTGGCCATGTTTAGGTTCGTCTCGTGGAACTGCCGGCACGGCGGTGTCGAGCGCTACCATCATATTTCAGAGGAGTTCAACTACACTGACATTATCGCCCTCGCAAGTACTGGCGAGAAGGCGGCACCCGACCGCGTACCAGTGTACACGGAGCTGCGTCTTCATTTTGGGATACGGTGCGGAGTTCTTCCCAGCAAGCACGTTGATACGACTTGCGGCATAGCGCTGTTATTCTAGAAGCGGGTCTTCAAGCGTCGAGATGTGTGCGATGTTTTTGCAGTGCCTGTTGTGTTGCAAGGAAGGGTGGCAGCCTTCCGCCAACGACCATGCAGATTTGACGTGTGGATCCCCGTGCTGCACTCTCCAGACTTTGCGATGCCGCTCCAGAAGGCGGTGGGCGTGCCAGAGTGCATGGACGACCTCGAGGCCCAATTCAGTGCATGCCAAAGCCCAAGACGAATGCGTGGGCGACGTGGATCACGCTCGTGCGCGCCACGGCCGTGCGCCCCCTCGCGAAGACCCCTCCAGCGCGACCCGAAGATCTAGCAGTGCACGGAGCAGCGCAGCGGGCAACCGTGGCAACAGAGTCTGGCGAGGGAGCGGGGCGAGGGCGACGCGCGAGTCCCACGTGCAGCGTGCCAAGTGCCCAAGACGCCCTTCGTCACCTCCGCCAGCATCCCGAGCTTGAGACGACGATCCAGCTTGTCTTAAGTCGGGCCTGTCCCTCTACAGGGTGAACATTCCAAAGTAGTCAGAAAATGGTCAGGGGACTATGTCTTGAATATGTTCTGACCATTTTGGAGTATTTTTGGCGTATTTTTTGTTTTCCGTCGAAAATCCCCCTGTAGGGTGACACGCCCGACTGAAGGAGATGCTTGGGACGCTCAGAAGCACGCCGAGGCCTGGAGGCTTGCCCACGCTCTGGCAGGCAGACGCGGAGGCCCCAGGAGAAGCACGCGCACACTCCACGCGGCGGAGACCTCTTGCTCCTCGGGCTGCGGAGGTGGTTTCGTGGCAGTGCTCGCGTGGGCTTCGCGGAGCACCGGCGGCGGCTCCTGGAGGATCCCCCTCCTCCTTCTCTTCCTCCTCCTCCTCCTCCTCCCCCTCCTCCTCCTCCTCCTCCTCCTCCTCCTCCTCCTCCTCCTCCTTCTCTTCCTCCTCCTTCTCCTCCTCCTCCCCGCGTCATGCGGAAGCGACGACTTCCTGCGCGTAGAGAGGGGGCGCGACGACGTGGGGCAGGTTGCTGAGCTGGCGGCGATGGCCGCTACGCTCAACGCGGCCCCCATGCATTCTGGGCCTTCGGAGCTGCTCATGCGGATCCTGAGCCCTGCTCGGAGGGTTGGCGGTGCGCACAGGAGGCCACGCCAGCCAAACAACGGGGAGGACGAGGGTGCTGCGGCCCCCCCACCACGGCCACGCGCGGAGTTTGTATCATGACGCCGGCTCGCGGGGGACAGAAGAGGGCTGGGCGCCGACCAGTTCCCTGAGATCTCGAAAGGGCACAGCATCAAGGCACTCTAGGGGATACTTCCCCAGATCCGACGAGTGCAGCTGGCCCCACTGGTCTGACATCACTCACGGGCGACGGGCTTGGACAAACGTGGCAGCAAGGAGGGCTTCCCGGCGAGGCGCTGCATCCACGGGCTGTGCAGAATGCGGATATTGTGGTTCAAGGCTCAGTCACGACGCGGACCTGTTGAGATATTTCCTGATCGAGAGCATGGGTATCTACCTGGACGTAGCCGCGCGGCCCCATTGATATGTCAAAAGGCGTTGTTGTGGCGAATGCGGTCCTCGGGTATATCGTCGGTCACGGTGAAGCAGGACATGGCGAATGCGTTTGGCTGCTCGACCTTGCCCTCGTTACGCGCGACAGAACTGGAATCCATTCGAGAAGATTCGCAGTGCTATTTCCACCCGCGTCGCGAGGACAGTATCGTCACCATCTCCGCAGCGGACTGCGAGCAGACGATGCGCAACCTTTGTGAAGCGTTCATGGTCGATGCGCCTGCGGCAGGTTTTGTATTCGGATCTTTCGACGACCTGTGCGGCACTGACTGGACTCGCGTGGCGCAGGCTTGGTGGGGGGGTGTCCGACGCGGGGGTGCACCTATTCGAACTGGGCCCAGCAGGCCTTGGCGCCGCCGACGCCCACTTTAGATCCTGCTCGCATCATGTGGCCTAGCGAGGCGCAGTGTATAGCATGGGCTCCTAACTTCCAGCGCCGCGTGGACCTGTCGTGCCGTGTCTGCGCCGACGATGCGAGTGAGGCCGGTGTCGTCACCTCAGGTCTGGAGCTCTCGCAGCGCGCGCTCGAGCGTGCCTGTGGTCATCTGCGGGCGGCGCTCGCCGTGGGCGGCTGCTCTCGTGGGGGGGGGGCAGTCGTGTTTTTTCATTCTTTCTTCGGCCCTGGCGCGTTCGCTCATTGCGCTGCTGTGTCTGGCGGAGACATCTGATTTTCTGGCAGGGCGCAGTTCGATGACATTGCGCCAGGCATTCGAACGTCGATTAACGGCCGGCCCTCGGGGAGCCCGAGTTACATTCTTGCTGCTCGCAGGGGCTGCTATTCTACGGGGCGTCTCTGGTCCGGGGACTGACTGGGCCAGCGTGACAAACGCGATCAGGGCCTTCTGGATGACAAATCTTTCGGATTGGAAAATCCCAGGGGAAATCTCCAAATGGCATTTCCCCCCAAATCTCCCGAAAATCTATGGGCCCAAATCTCTCGGGAAGTCTCCCGGCTTCATCAATCTCTGGGGGTTGTGGCTTGCAGAAATCGCAGGAAAAGCGGCGGGGAATTTTTGGCATGTCTCCGGCGCGCAGAATTTCCCGGAAAATCGTCGGGCAGTCTCCGGCAAATTTCTGGATAATCTCTGGCGCGCAGAAATCTCCAGATGCTCGGAAAATCTTCTGCGAATCTCCAGAAAATCCGCGGCGGAGATTTCGTTGGAGATTCGTTCAGGCGCGAGTATTTCGGAGATTCGCGGCGAGATGTTGGCAGCGCGAGGATCTTCGGATGCGCCGGGTGGTTTGAGGCGCGAAGGTTCTGGAGACTCGCCGGGGTATTTTTTGGAGATAGGAGGTGCGCGGGAATTATCGGAGATTTTTTTGGTATTCCTGGCCGGTCGCGTTTGCCATGATCGACCCAGTCTAATCCAGGAACGGGGTCTGGGGGCTCGCGCGCGCGGCCTTCGGGGCGGTGGTAGAGGGGGCTCTTCTTAGAAGGCTCGCGACTATGACTGTCCCGGAGGCTCAGGAACAACGACTTGGTCGGTTGCTGATGGGCTTGGCGAGGATGCTCCTGGGGGGCGACGCTTTGCGCCGGAACCGACGCTCAGGATGCGGCGGGCATTCTGGTCGTGGGCGAGCGAGGGCAGCCTGTTCTTCGATGCCACGCTCGCGCTGATGCAGTCGTCCACGATCGTGTTGGGGGTCGTTCCGACTGGTGCAGGATCGCGCGTCTTCAACAGCGCCAGAGGTGGGTCCGGCGCCCCGAGGCCCATCCTCGATTTTTGGTCAGCTGCCGCGCGGGGGGGGCCCCGCGTTTCATGGCGCCAGCGCCGCGGAGCGGATTCGGCTCGGAAGCGATAGGGTGGGCCCGGGGTGTCCAGGATAGTTTCGCTCTGGATTTCGAAGTGAATTTCGCGTGGATTTTTTGTTGCCAGGAATGAAGACCAAAAAGAATCCACGCGAAATCCATTCCGTTTTTCGCTCGCCGCTTCGGGCAAAAATCCAAGCAGACATCCGCGCAGAAATCCGCTGCACCACGTCTGCAAGGCTGGTGCAATGACGCGTTGCGCGAAAATGGGATGATCAAGACTGACGCCAATGCGTAAGCCATACGTTCCGCGTCCGACATCTTGGCCCTGGTCCAGCGGGCCGAAGCTGAGCAACTCGAGAACTGGCTCTTCGCGTGGGACTTGGAGGAAGCCGTATTTCTGGCTGTGCGTTCTTCGGGCATCCTGCGCGGACGGCGATCTTCGCGCAATTTCGGGGCCTCGATCCTGGGCCGCTTCGCGCGGCTGCTCGAACAGGGGCCATCCCCCCACCTGCGCGTCTAAATGGGCCTCCACCTGCTGGTCCTGCGGCTCCTGAGGGTGATCCAGAGGCCCCCCCCTCCTCCCGGGGCTATCTGGATTTGTGAGCTGGTCAACTCGGAGGGGGGCGCGCGCGGCGGGGCCTTCGAGACTCGGTGAGCTCTCCTCGCGCGCCCGCGCTTCTCCAAGGGCGGGGGCCCTCGTGCGGGTCGGTCATGTGCGCCATCGTAGTCGCAGACGAGTGAAGCATATGCCAGCAAACTTTTCGCGCGCGACGCATCGCGCGCGAGCGCGCGGTCGAGGCAGTCCCAGAAGGGCGGCGCCCTCCGCGCGCGGCGCCTTGGCATCGCCGTGTGGCGCAGCCAGGTCCCTTGCGCTGCTCGAGGGCGGATCTCGCCTTGATGTTGGCCCGTGGGTGTCAGAGCTTGGACTGCTGCTGTGAGCGCTCCGAACCGTTTCGGGGCCCGGCGGAGCCGTGCCGGCACTTGCATGTTGTTCAGGAGGGGAAAACACACACACAGACACAATTAATCGACGATTCCACAGAAAATATGGGAACATATGGGAAAATCTGGGAAGTGTGGGGGGGAGACAAAAACCCAGAACATATGAGAAAATATTGGGAATCTTTTTATTTATATCTATTTACTTGTGCGTCCCAGGGCCCCTTCAAAGTTGTTGCCGCGCCCGGAGTGCCGATCGACCCTGGGGGATCTGTGCCGCCCAGGGGGGCAGGCCCTCGAGGCGGCGGGGCGGGCGCGCTCCCGCGGGCCGGGGGGGGGGGGCGCGCGCGGGGGCCGAGCTGGCGCGGCCTGCGTCGCCAGCGGGCGAGGGGGGCGCCGGCGAGAGGCTCGCGACAGTCCGCCGCCGAGACCGAGGCTCCGGGGAGGCCCGGGGGGACGGAGAAGCTCAGGGCCAGGCTCCAGGGGGGGGGGGGGCAGGCTTCAGGGAAGCCCAGGGAGAAGCTCAGGGCCAGGCTCCAGGGGGGGGGCGGGGCCTCAGGCGGGCCCAGGGAGAAGCTCAGGCCAGGCCCCCAGAGGGGGGGGCAGGCTTAAGCTCAGGGAGATCGGCCAGGACCAGGCTCCAGCGGGGGGGCGGACTTCAGGGGGGCCCAGGAGAAGCTTCAGGGCCAGGCTCCAGGGGGGGGGCAGGCTTCAGGGAACCCAGGGAGAAGCTCAGGACCAGGCTCCAGCGGGGGGGCGGGCTTCAGGAGGCCCAGGAGGAGCTCAGGGCTAGGCTCCAGGGGGGGGCAGGCTTCAGGGAAGCCCAGGGAGAAGCTCGGGGCCGGCTCCAGCGGGGGGGCGGCTTCAGGGGGGCCATCGAGAAGCTCAGGGCAGGCTCAGGGGGGGGGGGGCAGGCTCCGGGGAAGCCAGGGAAGACCTCAGGGCCAGGCTCCAGGGGGGGGGCGGCTTCAGGGGCCCATCGAGAGCGGGGGGCCCATCGAGAAGCTCAGGGCCAGGCTCTGCATGGGGGGGGGGGGCAGATCGGGGAGCCCAGGGAGAAGCTCGCAGGCTCCAGCGGGGGGCGGGCTTCACGGGGGCCAGGGAGAAGGGGGCTCCAGGGGGGGGGGGGGGGGGGGGGCAGGCTTTCATGGAAGCCCAGGGAGAAAGCTCAGGGCAGGCTCCAGCGGGGGGGCGGGCTTCAGGGAGGCCCAGGGAAAGCTCAGGGCCAGGCTCCAGGGGGGGGGGGGGGGGCAGGCTTCAGGGGGGCCGTTGGGAGCTTAGACCAGGCTCAGCGGGGGGCGGGCTTCACAGGGAGGCCCAGGGAGAAGCTCAGGGCCGGCTCCAGGGGGGGGGGGCAGCTTAGGGAAGCCCAGTGAAAAGCTACAGGGAAGCCAGCGGGCTTCAGGTCCAGCCCAGGGGGGGGGGGGGCAGGCTTCAGGGAAGCCCCGGGAGAAGCTCAGGACCAGGCTCCAGCGGGGGGGCGGGCTCCAGGGGGGCCCAGGGATAAGGGGCGCGCGGCGGGCGCTCTCGCGCGCGGGCAGCGCGCGGGCGGCGCCGGTGCGCGGCGGCAGCGCGGCGGCGGTCCAGCTGGAAGCTGGTCGCGCGCGGGCTCTCACCGGATGGCATCGCCAAGCTGCCCTCGATGGGCGCGCGAACGGTGGCGACGGTCGTTGCGATCCTGATGGGGGCGGCGCTGAGCTCTCTCTAGCATCGGACTGCTGACGGCAGCAGAGTTCGCCTTCGTCACCGCGGGGGAGGAGCATCCGATCATCGGGGCGTCCGTTCAGGCGGGCCGCGCGCGCGCGACGGAGGCCGCGCGTCGTCGCGCGGAGCGCTTGGAGGACCACTCCAAGCCAGGGTCGGCGGCTCTGATTGGCCCGTCGCGCGTGCAGATCTTCCGATTCGTTGCCGAGGAGCTGGGCGACTCGGGGGTCGTCGCGGGCGCCCGCGGCGCGCGGGGGTGGAAGGGCCGCCCGGCGCGCCTGGAGGGGGGCGCAGGATATGGCCAACCTCGCCATGCCCATCAAGGGCTTCAGGGTGTCCAGCGCGCGCAGGGACGGGCTCGCGAAGATGGTCCACTCGATCGCGGGCGCGGCCGTGGCGGAGGCAATCCAGTCGTGCATGGTGCAATTGGGATGCGAGGCCAGGCCCCCGGGTCGCATTCGGAAAGGCTGTCTGCAGGTGGCGCTCGATCATCGGGGATAGAAGACACCCGAACCCTAATTGCACGATGAAGCCGTAGCCTCACTAAGGTCCCCGTCTTCGCATTCGGCATTGCGTAGATCTGGGCGGTTTAGTTGAGACATCTGCAGAAACGGCCCCCTGTCCACAATGTTTTTGGCCCTCATGACTCATGTCTTCTCCCAGACGGGTAGGGGTCCTTTCGTTGCTAATCGTTCGACGAGCTCGACAAATTGTGAGTGGGAGTGCGTGTCGCCCTCAGCACCGACGGGGAGCTCAGACGCAGGATGCAACGGGTATCGTGTGCTCTGACGGTAATGTTGGCATGAGACCTGGAGGTGTGACGGCGATGAGATCACAGAGTACGGGGTCGGCGGAGCCTCTGAATCGGCAGCAGGTTTCTGTCGAGAGAATTGACGGCATTCATTTCAGAGAGTACGGGACCAGCGGAGCCATTATCGAATCAGCCTTTGTCGAGAGATGGAGGTTCGTCGGCGACGAGAACTTCGCGGGCGCTGGGGGTTCATCGGCGACGATTTCGCAGAGTACGGGATCGAGGGGAACCTGGTCGTGAGCCGTTCAACCTTCGCGACCGAGGGCGCTCCGTGATGCCGAGGCTTGCCGCCCGGCCGTTCCCGCAAGCTCTCTCTCCCTCTTCTTTCTCGTGTGGGTCCTCGGGTGCGTCCTCGTCCTCCTCCTCCGTCTGTCAGTTTCTTGGACCTAGTGGCCTATGCCAGTACGTTCTGAGTTTTCCATTGAATGGGCCCTTCGTGGGAGTTAGTGTTCTTCTCGTGGTAGCTTCGGAATTGGTGGTTGGGCGAAGTGAACTCGGGGCTCCCACCCTTCCCTCGAGGGGGGGGGGGGTTGCCTGATCCGTTTGAGAACGCACGCTAGGTCGCACATCGTGGTATATTGTGTTTGCGGTGATGCTTGTTCGAGTCTGCACCCGGGTTTCGACCCGATAGCGATCCGCCGCCGCGCCTCCTGTTTCTTCTTCTCCTCCCCTCCTCCTCCTCCTCCTCGTCCTCCTCCTCCTCCTCCTCCTCCTCCTCCTCCTCCTCCTCCTCCCCCCGTCCTCCTCCTCCTCCTCCCCTCCTCCTCCTCCTCCTCCTCCTCCTCCTCCTCCTTCTTTTCCTCCTCCCACCGTCCTCCTCGTCCTTCTCCCCCTCCTTTTTCTCCTCCTTCTTTCCTCCTCCCCCCCTCGGGGGTTCGTGGTGGAGGTCGGCGGGGGCAGGGATCGCCCAGAAGCCTCGATCCTCGATCCTCGCAACGCAACGCAACGCCCGATCGTCCCAAAGGCCGGTCCTGATTCAGAACACGGGGATGAGCATGCACAGCGACAATTCCTTAGGAATGCCACCGGAAAATTTGGGAAAAAACATCGTGGCAGTAGCGTCTGTTGTTCGTCTGGCCAGACTGCGCCGGCGCAGCCACGCCTGGGGGAGAGAGGGAAGGGAGGGAGGGGAGGAAAGAGGGGAGGGGAGGACGGGAAGGGGACGGCAGCGGCAGCATCGGCGATCAGTCAGTCCATCTCTGTCTCGGCCTTCCCCGCCGTCTATGCGGAGCGTGTTGTAGGAGGTGATCACGAACTTGCGCCGGAGCCCAGTTGGCGGCCAGCTGCGCTACTAGCGGCGCCGTTCCGGTTTCGACAGTGCGAAGCAGCCTGTCTCTGGCGAGCTCCCTTACCCGGCTCCACTCCAGCACGGGGTGCCGCTGGAGCGTGGCCTCTAATCTTGCTTTCATGCGGTGTCCTGTGGTCTCCCAATCTTCGTTGTCAAAACGAACCCATCCAACGATTTTTCGCAGCATCTTTCTTTGAACGGCATCCAGCTTGCCAATTTGTTCTGAAGTCAGCGGTGTCGCCGACAAGCTGTGGCAGACAGCAGTGGTAACGACGCTGTGAAAGAGCTTGAGGCGCAACGGAACAGGAATCTTCCGGTTCAGCAAGGTCGGTGCTAAATTGTGGAACTTCATCCAGCCGCAAGCCAAACGGTGGTTCAGATTACACTGCCCTCTCCGCCGTAAGTCTCCAGACAACAGACGTCCCAGATACTTGTGCGTTGCCTCGCATCGCAAGATCTCAACCATGCATTCTCCAGCATCAGCCAGAAGCGGAACATCGCTGTCTGAAGACTCGGAATCCGTTGTCAGCATCTTCGTTTTGGAGCCATTGATCCTCGGTCCCCCTCTTCGTCAGCATCTCCGTTGTCAGCATTTGCGTTGTCAGAATCTTCGTCGATCCTCGGTCCCCCTCTTTTTCCAGCCTGATCTAACGCTCGGAAACCTCGGTCCCCGGTCTTTCCAGCACCCCTGGATCCTGGTCGATCTCAAGTCCTCGGCCCTTCCAGCATGCTCTCAGGGTGCGCCCCTTCCAGCTGCAGCTGGCGCGTGCCTTCGGCGTGGTGCTGACGCTCCTGTTCATTACTGCGGGCCTGGTCTACGAGGCGCGCCATGGTCGCGGTCCAGGGCAAGGAGAGGAGGACGAGGAGGAGGATGAGGAGGAGGGAGGAGGGAGGAGGAGGAGCAGAAGGGGGAGGAGGAGGAGGAGGACGAGGAGGATGAAGAGGAAGATGAGGATGAGGACGGCGGCGGAGGAGGAGGAGAAGGAGGGATGATGATGATGATGATGATGATGATGATGATGATGATGATGATGATGATGACGATGACGATGACGATGACGATGATGATGATGATGATGATGATGATGATGATGATGATGATGCTGATGATGATGCTGATCATGATGCTGCTGATGATGATGATGATGATGTTGATGATGACGATGCTGGTAATGGTCATGATGATGCTGATAATGATGATGGTGATGCTGATTGTGCTGCTGCTAATGCTGCTGATGATGATGCTGATGCTAATGAGATTGATGCTGCTGCTGATGCTGACGCTCTTGCTGCCGATGCTGCTGCTGATGATGCAGATGCTGGTGATGATGATGATGATGATGATGATGATGATGCTGATGTTGGTGATGGTGATGATGATGATGATGATGATGACGATGATGATGATGATGATGATGATGATGATGATGATGATGATGATGATGATGACGATGATGATGCTGCTGCTGCTGATGATGATGACCATGATGATGCTGATGAGGATGCTGGTGGTGGTGATGACGATGATAGTGATGATGCTGTTGCTGCTTCTGTTGCTGCTGTTGATGCTGCTGCTGCTGATGATGATGATGATGATGACGATGAGCTGATGATGATGCTGATGATGCTGCTGCCGATGATGATGCTGATAATAATGATGATGATGGTGGTGATGATGATGATGATGATGATGATGATGATGATGATGATGATGATGATGATGATGATGATGTCGGTGGTGAAGGTGGTGATGATGATGATGTTGCTGCTAATGCTGCTGCTGATGATGATGGCGATGATGATGATGCTGCTGATGATGTTGCTGCTGCTGATGATGATACTGATGGCGATGATGGTGATTATGATGATGATGATCATGATGAAGATGATGATGATGATGATGATGATGATGATGATGATGATGATGATGATGATGATGATGAGGATGAGGATGAGGATGAGGATGAGGATGAGGATGAGGATGAGGATGAGGATGAGGATGATGACGACGACGACGATGATGATGATGATGATGATGATGATGATGATGATGATGATGATGATGATGACGATGATGATGATGATGATGATGATGATGATGATGATGATGATGATGATGATGATGATGATGATGATGATGATGATGATGATGATGATGCTGTTTTTGATGATGACGCTGATTCTGCAAAGAGCATGTTCTAACGCTGCTGGCGGAAAGCGGGGGGGGTCACTGGGGTTTCCCAGCCCGTCCCCCCCCTTTTCGGAAACGGGGGGGGGGTCACTACCGGTTCGAGCCCCCCGCTCTCCCCACCCCCCGTCCATTATGGAAGGGGGGGGGTCACTACCAGTTCGACCCCCCTTTCCCTTGCCGCCGGCAAGCGATTCCCGCTCCTCGGGAGAGTCGGACAGTGGTGGGGACACTGGGACAGTGGTGAGGACGGTGGTGATGGGGACAGTGGTGTGGGGACAGTGGGAAAGTGGTGGGGACAGTGGGACAGTGGTGGGGACGGTGGTGGTGGGGACAGTGGTGATGGGGACAGCGGGACAGCGGGACAGTGGTGGGGACAATGGGGGCAGTGGGACAGTGGCGGGGACGGTAATGGTGGGGACAGTGGTGAAGGCGGTGGTGAGAACGGTGGTGGGACAGTGATACAGTGGGGAGAGTGGTGTGGACAGTGGGGACAGTAGGACAGTGGTGGGGACAGTGGGGACAGTGGGAGAGCACTGTGGGACAGCGGCAGGGACAGTGGGGACAGTGGGACCGTGGTGGGAACAGTGGGGACACTGGGACAGTGGTGGGGACAGTGAGGACAATGGGGAGTGGGACCGTGGTGGGACCATGGTGGGGACAGTGGGCACAGTGAGACACTGGTGGGGACACTGGTGGGGACAGTGGGGACAATGGTGGCAGTGGGTACACTGGGACAGTGGTGGGGACAGTGGGACAGTGGTGGGGAAGGTGGTGGTGGGGACAGTGGTATGGGGAGAGTGGGACCGTGGTGGGGACAGTGGGGACAGTGAGACACTGGTGGGGACGGTTGTGGTGGGGACAGTGGTGAGGGCGGTGGTGAGGACGGTGGGACAATGGGACAGGGGTACAGTGGGGACAGTGGTGGGGACACTGGGGACAGTGGTGGGGACAGTGGGACAGCTCAGTGGGACAGCGGCGCGGGCAGTGGGACAGTGGGGACAGTGGGGACAGTGGGACAGTGGTGGGGACCGTGGGGAAAGTGGGGAGAGTGAGACCGTGGTGGGAACAGTTGTGGGGGCAGTGGGGACACTGCGACAGTGGTGGGGGCACTGGTGGGGACAGTGGGGACGGTGGTGGGGAAAGTGGGGACAGTGGTGGTGGGGACGGTGGTGCTGGGGACAGCGGTGGGGGATGTGGTGCGGATGGAGGTGGGGGAACGGGGAGTCGTTTGCCGGCGGTGGGGGGGGGTTCGAACCGGTAATGACCCCCCCGGTTTTCTGGAGGGGGAAGGGGGGGTTCGAACCGCTAGTGCCCCCCCCGGTTTTTCGGCCGGAGGGCTGGTGGGGTGGGGAGGGGTCAGGTGGGGTGGGGTTTGCCGGGGGACGGGGTGGGAGGGGGGGGGGTTCCAGCAGGGGGGAATTTTCGAAGGGGGGGGGACCCCGGGTTCCGGAGGAAGAAGGGGGGAATTTTCCATAGTAAAGCGGCGGTGGATCACGCTCTCTCTGATACTGAGGATGATGAGGATGCTGCTGATGATTATGATGATGATGCTGACGCTCTTACTGTGGATGACGATGACGATGACGATGACGATGACGATGACGATGACGATGATCGATGATGATGATGATGATGATGATGATGATGATGATGATGATGATGATGATGATGATGATGCTGATGCTGATGCTGATGCTGATGCTTATGCTTATGCTTATGCTGATGATGATGATGATGCTGATGCTGATGCTGCTAATGATGATGATGATGATGCTGCTGCCGATGATGATTATGATGATGATGATGATGCTGACGCTCTTGCTGTCGATGATGATGATGATGATGATGATGATGATGCTGATGATGATGATGATGACGGGTGATGATGATGGTGATGCTGATGCTGATGATGATGCTGATGATGATGATGGTTATGGTGATGGTGATGGTGATGGTGATGATGCTGATGATGTTGCTGCTGCTGCTGATGATGATGATGATGCTGATGATGATGATGAGGATGATGATGATACTGATGATGATGATGATGATGATGATGATGATGATGATGATGATGATGATGATGATGATGATGATTATGATGCTGATGCTGATGATGATGATGATGATGATGATGATGATGATGATGATGATGATGATGATGATGATGATGATGATGATGATGATGATGATGATGCTGATGCTGATTATGAGGGTGACCTGTATATATGTATATATATACACATTTACACACATATATATATATTCACACACACTCGTAGCACCCCGCATATGCGCATAAGAAAAAAAGGGCCGGGCACGGGGTGGGTCGCGTGTTTGTCGTGGGTGCGTCGCAGGGTGGGTCGTGGGGTGGGTCGCGGAGTGGGTCGCACGTGGGTCGCGGGCAGGTCGCGGGCGAGGACGACGACAACAACAATCATTTTGAGTTTGTTCGTTTGGATATACTCGCGTGTCTTTTGACATGTGTATCCCAAAACCTCGAAAGCCCGCCCTCCTCGTCTTCGACCGTGCATCTTCCTTACCTTTTACGTGTGGTTGACGCAGCCCCCTTCAAGCAAGGGAGCGGAGGGAGGAAAGAAGAAACAAGGGGGAGGGAAAAGGATGGAGCAAGAGAGAGATTTCAGGCGATCGCAGATATGGATCAAGGGGGCGTGGATTGGCGACGGGTCCCGTCTCCACGGGGAAATCGCGGATTTCCGCAGCCGAGCGAAGCGGCACCAGCAGCATTTTGGGGAGGCCCCCCCCCAGATCCATGGATTAGGCGACCGCGCGCCAAATCCACGGACCGCTGGTCCATGTCTGCGCGCTCCCGAAGATTGGCAGGACGGAGTTAGCAGCACGAGTGCAAGCGGCATCACCAGACGGGCGGGTCGGGCGGCCGGACCCTCACGGGCGGGCCGGGCCAGCGAGCCCAGCCGGCCGCTGGCCGGGTGGAGCGGGCGGGTCGCTGAAGCGCCACTCCAACATGAATCGCGAGGAAGTTCCGAGCGACAGCGCGATTCCCAGAGATCCATCATATTGATCGGGGGTGGACAGACATCCTGCCCTGACACGTCGATTGAGGAATTGGCCGTTTTCGGTTCGCGGGAGGGCGTCGCGGCCGTCATTTTTGCGGATCCAGGTCCGTCCGTTTCGGCCCAGGCCGTTTTCACTAAGGGGAGGTCTACTAAAGGGAGGTTTGTCCACCGCCGAATTGAACAAAAACAAGACGGCGTTTTTTTCCGGATTTTCGGCCTCTAGGGGCCCTCGCCGGGCCATGGGACCGTCAAAAACGGCTCAGGATGAAAACCAGTCTTGGGGAATGGGTCGAGACTTCTGGGGACCGCGTATAGAACAAATCAAGACATCGGATCTCTGGGTTCCAAGGTAAATCGTGAGGAAGCCCAAATCGAGAGCGTGATTCCTGAGTGTCGAAGGCGCAGTGTTCCCACAAGTTGCGAGGAAGCACCAATCGAGAGCGCGATTTCTGAATTAGTTGTATGGAAGTATCAGACGGGAACCGTTCCGGGGCACAATCTGAGGCGCAATCTTTTTTGTAGAGCCCTGGGGGGTGAAAAAGCACAATGGGCAACGGGTAGGAGGGATCAGCAGCAAGTGTTCTTTAGAGCTGAGAGTTCAACGCAACAAACATCAGCAATCTGCACCGCGGAACCCCAATTCAGCCACGCGCCCAGGGACCCCTCACTCAGATCTCTCATACAACCAGAAACCGGCCCCAGGCCCCCCCAGGCTGCAGCACAGGGGCATCTGATATACACTAAGTCCCCAATCCACCCCCTGGGCCTCCCCGGGGCCTCCCCAGAGCCTTCATCGAGCTTCCCTGGCCCCCCCGGAGCTTCCGTGTAGGTTCCACATAGGTCCCAGACGGGCCAATGTGGCTCCTAGACGACCCAAGGGGCCCCAAGATGGCTCCAAGAGGACCCTCACCACAGCCCGACGAGGCAAACATTGCTCCGTTCCTTTGTAGGATAATGCGCAACATTCGCTACTTTCATGTGCGCAGCGTCAAAAACGGCCCCAAAACGGTCCAAGAGGTTTCACAGAGGGCCCCAAGACGGCCCATGAGGCACCCCAAGACGGCCCATGGGGCACCAAGGACCGCCCCAGACGGCCCTCAGAGGGCCCCCAAAGGGGCCACGGGTGGGGAAGTCGAGCCCACATTTCGAGGCCTCCGCCCCAAGAGGACCCCGCAGACCGCCAGCAGCCCCCCAAGAGAACCCGAAAGAGGCCCAAAAGAGGTCCAAAAAGATGCCCCAAAGAGCACCCCATGGGGCCTCAGAGCTGAGGCTCCCTGCTAGAGGCCGCCCCCCCAGAGGCCCGAGCAGGCATTCGAGAGGTCTCGCGCCAACAGCCCAGGCACGGTGGCTGCACGTGGACGAGGGGCACTTCCTCTCTGTCCTCGCACTTCGAACCCGAGACCGCCCGCAGGACCCCAGGACCCCCCCCCGAGAGGACCCTGGAGCCCCCCCAAGAGACCCAGGAGAGGCCCCAAACGGCCGCAAACGGCTTCAAAACTGCCTCCAAGGAGTTGCCCAGAGGCTTCCCGAAAGACCCCAAGAGGAATCCAAGAGGTCTCCGACCAACGGTGACAGGATGGGCCGAGGGCCACCAGGAGGTGCACACGTGGACGAGGGGCACCGTGGCCCCTCCTATGTGCCCTCCCTTTTGCTTTTCGTCGTCAGTGTCCCCGCTTCTCCTTCTGCTCCTGTCCCTCCTTGCCGTTCTGCTTTCGTCGGCATCGCCGTCGAGCTCTTGGACTCTGCGCCACTGTCTGGGCCCCTTAGCCGCCCCCCTCGTCCTCTGCGTCTGCGTCGTCCTCCTGGAGACCTCCGTGCTCAGGGAAGGGCTGTTTGCTGCGTGTTCCCGTAGCGCTTTTGGCCCAAAGTCTTACCCGCAACCGTCGCCCAACCTTCAACATGTCATTGCGAGCTGGGATTCTGGAGAACCTGAGTGCGCGCGAAGCGCGCGCGATGGTTCCAGTATGAAGCTGTACAGGAATATGCGTGTATATGGGTGTATGCATATGTCTCGAAGACGCCAACGCCAAACTACGGCCGGTTTGTGCCTTTCGGAAGCGCCCTTGCGGCCAACCGTCGTGCCATCGTTTGGCCAAGCTGTTTGACTATATGTTCCTCCAGCCGTTGTGGACCCCATTCGGGGAACACCTGGGAGAGGAAGTGTGGCGGAGGAGGTGTTCGGGGAAGGCCAGGGGCTGTCCTTCATCCCACTGCTGCTCTCCAAGCTTCAGCGCAGCAGGCGGCCCCAGGGTCTCCGCAGCCTCCCCTTTGAAAAAGGAATGAAAGGGAGAGGGAGAGAGTGAGGGAGGACGGATTAGGAGGGAGGATGAGGAGGGAGGAGGAGGAGACCGAAGGGAGGGAGGGCCAGAAGGGAAATAATAATTTGATGATGATGATGAGGAGGAGGAGGATGAGGAGGAGGAGGAGGAGGAAGAGGAGGAGGAGGAGGAATTGTGGGGAGGAACCCGCCGAGCGCCGATATCACAAGGCCGAGCACCTGGCGAACCCGCAGTTTGCAAACTTCTTCGACGCGTTCTACTTCTCGGTCCGTGGTGGCGGGGGGGTGGGGTGCGGCGGGGGTCATTTCTCTATCCTCCCCATCCCCATCAACCCATCCTTGATCCTTCCTTCCCTCTGCCTGCCGTTTAGTTGCCAGAGACATTCTCTACTACTCCTCATATTTTCAATCGCGCCCTATCTTCAGTCCCACAAAGCGGCGTCCCCACTATTTTCAGTATGGCATCACCCCGAATAGATTATGTTCCCCGAGGTCCTGAGGGGGCCCTGGCGCTGCTGACCCGAGAGGTCCTCCATAGTCGTTTTGGATCAGTCGACTCCACCTGAGGGCCACCAGGTTGGGGCCATGAGGCTGGTGGTCCGCGGCGGGGCATTCGGAGCCCCGTCGGAAAGCTGTCCCCGCCGGTCGCCCACCACCATGCCTGCTGGTGACCCCAGTGCGCTTGGGGTGCCAGCAGGACGTTGCGGCCCTCGTGGCAGGCGGGTGATGCGCGGAACGTCGGCAGCCGCAGGCAAGGGGGGCGCCGCGGGGTAGCGCGGGGCCTCCGTGGGGCAACTCCGAGCTCGACCCCGCGGCCAGCTCGGCACTGTGCTGCAGGTCGGAGTGCTGGACGAGCAGCGGGTCTCATAGGAGTCAGAGCTAGCTCGTGGAGGTCGGGGGGTCGCGCGGGCCCGGTAGCCCGAGGAGGGTGGCTGGCTGATTGAGTTCCGCCCCCTTGGGGCCTCGGACGCGTGTGTCGGGTGGTGTGCCCGCGCGACGGGAACGCACGGGGTCCGGACGGAGCAGACCATAACCCGCGTGTGCGAAGTGGGCGCCAGGAGCCGCCTTGTGCCAGGTCCCGAGGGCCGAGGATTGGTCGGTGCAACACGTCAACCTGGTTCGTGCGGTCGCGGAACAGGAGGCGAACGTGCTGCCCAAGAGCTGGGGGAGCGCGACCGAGGAACAGACCGGCAGCAGTCTAGGAGAGGGACGAGCTCTCAGCCAGTTCGAGCGACGGCGACGAAGAGCCCGACGAGTGCGGCTTCGACGACTGCGAGGACCTGGGGCAGAAGATGCCGCGGACGAGGCCGCGAGGCCCACCGCTGCCCCCGCCGCTCGAGGCGCCGCCGCTGGAGGCCCGAGCGGCCGCGCGGCACCAGGCGCTGGTGGCGGCCCCAGGCGCGGGGGCCGAGCGCCGAGCCCGTCTGGCGCGGCGAGCCGAGCCCGCCGGGCGTGGGCGCGAGGCGCGACGAGGAGCCTCGGAGCCGAGGTCGAGCCTTCCGCGGCGAGCGCGACCTTCTCGACGAGGCGGTGCAGGGCCTCGAGGCGGGCGCTGGCGACGCGGGCCGCGTTGCGGAGGTGCTGCAGGACCGAGCCTGCGGGCGGGCAGACAAGCGCTTGGACGGGGCCGAGCCTAGGCGCCACCCAGCTTCGCGGCGCGCGGGCGGTGCTCGCGTCCAGGGCCGGCGAGGGAGTCGGGGGGGGTCGACCCGCTCGGGAGCGCCATGGCCGTGGCTGGTTCGAGGAGCAGCTCGTCGACGGGCTGATGGGGCGCTCGGGGCCTGGGCTGGCGCTGGCGGCGACGCCTCAGGTTGCGAGGAGCACGGCGACTTGGGTGGCGAGCCAGGCGCTCGCGAGGCCGAGGTGAAGCGCGACCGTTTCGTCTCGAAGCCAGGCCATTTTCTGAGGTCGGGGCTCGAAGAACAGTTCCTGGCGGGCGCGCCCGAGGGCGAACTGCCGGCATGCTGCCGGCCCTTCTTGGGCGCTGTTTTTTTCGTCGTGGGCCCCGAGGGGGCGACTGCTTCGGACTCTCGCCGCGGCGCTGGACCTCGGGCTGAGCGGGTCGACCGTGGAGGCGCTGGACATTGCCGTCCAAGAGTTCAAGGACAGGGCGATGGCGATCAAGGGCGGCGGGGGTGGATGGCCGCCGCCCCGACCGATGCCGCGCCCGGCGTCGCTTCGATGTCCGAGGAGGTCGCGGCCCGCAGGGTGGCCTGCGCCGAGTTTCGGCGCGAGGAGCTGCGCGAGAGGCCGCTCGCCAAAAGGCGCCGTTTCTGGGGTCTCGGCCAGGTGCGGTCGCCCAGGGGGCGGCGACTCCCGTGGGCCGTCACGGCGGGGCTTATCCGCGTGCCGCGGCATCGGGCAGCTCCCGCCCCCTCGAGCACGAAGCGCCGGCGAAGTTTTGCTGCTCTGAGCCCGGCGTCCCTGGCGGCAGCAGCGGCGACCCTGGCGCGAGCCGCAGGGCGAGGGGCGTCGGCCGTGGCCCTCCGGCGAGCCGAGCAGCAACGGCGCCCGCGGGCCCTCCTGCCGCCCGATGGGCGCTGTTGGCAGGGGGCGACGAGTCGCCGTCGCAGCAGGCGATCGCTTTCTAGATTGCCAGGGCGAGGCTGCCGAGGGGGCGTGCCCGGCGCGAGTCTACCTGGCCATCCGCGAGAATCGCAACTGAAGCAGGTGGTGGCGGGCCCAAGTCCAGGCGGCGAATGCAACCGCGGGTGGGGGGGCGTGGGTGGGCGGGGCCTCGGCGGGAATCGCAGCGGGAAAACGGGCGCCCCCGCGCGCGACGGGCAGCGGCCGACAGGGGCAGGGCAGCAGCTGCTCCAGAGAGGGGGCCAGTAGTACACCAAGCTTGAGTGCGCATTCAATGTGATTGCAGCTTGCCGCCGGGGCCCTAGGGGGCAGGGGGTCCACCTTCGTCTCGTTGGCTCGGCGCGGCTGGATCCGCGGGCAGCGTGTCGACGCGAACTCCTCCCGCTACCTCTGCCAGTGCAGAGTTCGATCCAGGCGACGGAGGACCTGGCGCGGCAGGGCGGGCCGTTGGAGAATCGTGAAGAGTTGGTGCCACGGGGCTGCCGCGGGCTCATCAGCTGCGGGCTCGACTTCGAGGCAGAGGGGCGCGCCGGCAGACCGGTCGGGCCCGGCCGCGCGTCGTCTCGCAGGCGCAGCAGGTGGCGCTTGGAATTATCCACGACGCCGCCGCGCACTTCAGCTGCGAGCCGCTGAGCCCCGTGCAGGCGCTGGGTTGGGCCGAGATCCAGCGGGCAAGAGGTTGGGCGAGCAGGCCCATGGGTGGGGCGAGTTGCCGCTGGGCCCCCCCCGCTTGGGCATGCTAGGTCAGGCAGTGGATCTAGCAGCTCCGCGCGTTGAGGAGTGGCTGCTGAGCCCGGGCTCGCTCCGCGCGCCTCGCGACGAGTGGCCCGGGGGGGCCGCCCATGCTGGCGCGCGGGTTGCCGGCGACGAGGATTGGCGCGCCATCTGCAGGCGCTTCGAAGACGCCGCGGTTTTCGAGCTTACCGGCGAGGGGGCCTTCAGCGCCGACGGCAAGCAGGCGCTTGCAGGGGCGCTCGCGGTCGCCAAGTCAGTCAGTCAGTCAGGCCAGCCGGCCCCGCCCTTCTCCGAGGTGGCTCGGCTGATCCTCAACGTCGCGCTGCAACGCTCGTGCTGGCGCATCGCGGGGACCTACCTCGGCAGCCTGGCGCCCTGCTCATCGTGGACCTCGATCGTCGTGCCCGAGGGTCAGGCCCTCCTGTGGTCGTCGGGCGACCAGTCTGGGGTCTTCTACTTGCGCGGCCTTCCGAAGGTAATGCGGGGCTGCATGGCTGCGCGCGAGCTCGTGCCAAGCTGGGTCGTCGGGCGGCCCGGCGTCGAGTGGGTCAAGATGGCCGTCGCGCTGTGATCGCCGTGGGTCGGCTGTCGGCGGTCTGCCATTTTCAGCGCCAACGCCGCAGGCTGCGCTTTGGGCAGGGGCCGCGTGGCGCTGGCTTCGACGAGAACCAAGAGTGGAGGCGCGATCGCCGCTTGCCTCTCGTTCCTGATGCCCTCGCCCAGTCCTGGGTCCAGCACTGCCTCGACGACGTCGACTCGCCGGAGATCGCGCCCGAGAGCGTCGCGCTGATGATCGAGGGCGCCGCGGGGGGCTCCCAGCTAGAGCAGCGCGAGGCGCGCAAGGCAGCCGGGGCCCCTTCGTCCGAGAAGCGGGCATCCTGCCAGCAGCGGCGCTTCGTCAGGGCGGTGACGCCGGGCGCGTGGGCGTCTTGATCGAGAACATGTCGAGCGATTGGTGGGCGGGCCGCCGCGCCGTGGAGCTGCCGCGTGGCCTTGGCCCTTGGCGCGGCTCGCTCGTCGTTTGCCGCGCTCTACGAAGCGTGGGCCGTGTCCGAGCTGAGGGGCGCTGCCGGGGAGAGCGACGCGGCCCTCGGCGCCGCTTTCAAGCTGCCCGGCGATGCGCGGACAGGGCTCTTATCAGCCGTGTGCCTGCCGCCTATGGACTGCGCCACTTCGCGCCAACCTCGACGCCCCGGTGCCCGCCGCGGGGGGCCGGCGAGGGGGGCGGCGGCAGGTGCTTTCCGCGGGCCTGACCGAGTGCGGCGCTGAGGTAGCCAGCGGGCCGGTCGGTGAGGAGGGGCGCGCCTTCCCGCGGCGCGCCGCAATGGTGGCCGAGATCCCGCCTGTGTATTCTCTGAAGGATCAGCCCTTGGCCTCCGTGGCCCTGTGCGACCTCTTCGGGGGGGAGTTTGGGGCTGCCGTGGTCGCGTTGTCGAGGCGCCACTGCCGCGCTGCGATGCGCGCGTCGTCGGAGATTGACGAAGCTGCCAATCGTTGCGCGCGACAGCGCTGGCCGGGGGTCGTCGGTCTGGGGGGCGTCGCCAAGTTGGCCCTGGAGGCGCTGTGGCAGGTGGCCCGAGCGTCGTCGGATGTCGCTAGCTTGGTTGTCGTCGGCGGCGGCTCGCCCTGCGTCGACGTCGCCGGGCTGGGGCAGAGCGGCATTTGCATCGCTGGGCCGAAGAGCGGCTTGTTTTCCGGGCTGCCGCGGGCCTCCGCGACGAGTCGGAACGTCTCCGGCAGGCGGGGGCGCAAGTGTTTCGTTGGGGATGCGGCGAGCGCGCCCAGGGGCGACTTCGATGCGGTCTCGAGCGAGCTCGGGATCAAGCCCTATATGATCGAGGCGATGAAACATCGGACTCGGGCGCCGTCCCCGCCTGCGCTGGCCGTCCCGGAACTTGCTGGGGCGGCCGGGCGTAGTCGATATCGCGGAGGAGGAGGAGGAGGGG